TTTCAATATTCCATGGTCAAGTCTGTCGAAAGCCTTAAGGTACGTTTACATCTGACATTTATTGCATGAGATTTATGTTTGACAGTTGTTAAGTCAAGTGTAAAAACTCAAACATATATCTCCGAGAGAAATTTTTGTATGTTTACACTGGACTAAAAAACTGTTAGAGTCAGACATAAATCTCATAATATAAATGTCAGATGTAAAAGTACCTTTAGAAAAGTCAGTATATATTACATCCCCCCAATAATCAAAACACCTTGACTGCAAATTTATTGTAAGCTTACAAATATAAATGCAAGTTTCCTTGCAAGTTTGTTAAATATGTATTGATAGCTTCCTGCAAGTTTGAATCTACCTCATTCTAAAGTTAAAAAAATAAACTTAATATGCCATACTTTATGGAAACTAAATTAACTTATTGTTAATATACAATCAAAAACCTATTTAAAGTTTCAATTTAAATTATTGTCACGTTTTACGTATTTTTTAATAAAATATGTAACAATTATTAGGGGACTATCTATGTCCCAGGTGGTCAAACGATATGGTCTAAATAGTTTAAGCACTAGATTACTTACTTTAAACTGTGAATCGTAGCCCTTAATTGTATAAGGGTTCTACTTTTGATATAAGAACCTAACACGTCTCTGTAAAAGGGCTGAAGAAAACACAGTGTTCTCAAAATAAATATAATATAATATTTAAAACAATTATAAGCAACTGAACATACTTTAATATAATAATATAATAATATAATAATATAATAATATAATAATATAATAATATAATAATATAATAATATAATAATATAATAATATAATAATATAATAATATAATAATATAATAATATAATAATATAATAATATAATAATATAATAATATAATAATATAATAATATAATAATATAATAATATAATAATATAATAATATAATAATAAATAATATAAAATATTAACTTACCAGCTCCAAAAACTATCTAAGGTACATGTCACAACCCTTGGCTAACTATTCAAACCTCAATTCAAAATACAAAAAGAATTTTCTAAGTACTATGTAGATCCAGAGCCTCTGGTCGGAGTGTCAGTGGTCTGGAGCCACTACTGGGAATCGGTTACAAGGGGGTCTCCTATGTTGAAAAAGCCTTGTGCGTCTCCTCTAGATTACCTTTATAACTTCTACATGATTGCACATGATTGCAACTTAAAACAAATTGTTGACATAATTAAACAAAGTTTTATGTACCGGATAAGATTTAAATAATTAATTAAAATTAGGAAAAATATAAATTTATACGAAGCGTGATTATTAAAGAACTTTCATTAATAAATTATCTGAAAATATTCAAAATCACACTTGACTTACAGTGTTAAATATAAACGTCTATCAAACTTACATATACTATACTACATATACATATACTATTATGAGTACACTTTAAACTCTCAGGATTTTAGTCTTTATACCAGGTGTTCCAATTAAATACCTTGTGTAACAGAAAAAAAAAACAGTATAAATATGCATATAATATATGAATCAAAATATAAAACAGCAATTTGATAAGACCACATAAGATTGATACTTTTTAAAAATGCAGAAATTAGGCACTAACTATATTTACCAATAATATAAAAAAAAATTGGAAAACTTACTATGACTTCAATAAAAAAGTGAATTAATATATTTTGTTTTAGTCATTTGTCCCTTCTTGAAAGTGAGCCTTAGCCTAATGGAACCAAACCATGACTGATTAACAAAAATAGTCATTCCAGAATATAAACTATATGTTTTAAATTAATATTAAATTTAATTTATTACTTTTAAGGACTCCTTTTATTATACTGAAACCAAAAATTTTTAATATTTATCCAAATTTAAAAATTTTTGTACAAAAATCTTTCTCATCAAATTTTAAACAACCGATCTTACGTTTTTTGTCAGCACGATAAGTCAAAAATGAAATATATGAACTTAAAATTTTTAGGAAAAATCAATCTCTATAAAAAATTTGTATAAAAATGGAGGGACTAAGGGGGATTGAAACTTAAAAAAAAATCATAAAACAAAAACAAAAAACAATATCAACTTGAAACTTTCAGAAAAAAATCAAGAGCTAGAATGCAACAAAGCCTATTTATTTTAAAAAAAATCTAATTAAAATAAAGGGGTTAAGAGGGGTTAAAAAAATCATAAATTAAAAATAAAAAACATCAACTTGAAATTTTTAGGACATATCAATTTCTATAGGGAACGAAGCCTATTGATTTAAAAAAATCTGATTAATAATGGATTGGTTAAGGGGGGATTAAAACTTATAAAAAATCCGTTCTTACAGATGTTCAAGAAGCCTTTCACCAAGTCTGGCATGCTGAACTAGTCAAAAACCTCATGAACATGAGTTCCCCCAGTATCTCTAAACTATTCACTCTTACCTTACAGAATAATCACGCTCAAAGTAGGCAACGCCCTGTCGACTCATTCACCCCACTTGCTGAGGTACCACAGGGCTCCGTCCTGGCAACTCTCCTATACATCATATTCACCCACGATATCGCATCTCCAAACTACCCATCGTCAAAATACCTTCTGCGCCGACGATACTGCTCTGCTCTCTGTAGCCAAAAATTCTGACCAACTAAGTACTCAGACCCAAAATCTGTTAAACCGGTATTCTCGCTGATGAAGCAGATGTAGGGTCTCACTTAATCCACAAAAAAAAACCTAATTTATCATCTTTAATCATCCGAACTCAAAAGAGCCACTCAGATCCCCAACACGTATATTTAAGTCTCCTGGGAGTCACACTCGCTCAACATACTATTTGGGAGTATGATTCTCTTGTACACTCAACTGGTCCTTTGATGTCCAACGCTGTCCATTGAAAAGCGAGCCAGTCTTTGTGTAGACAATTTGGGCGATGCAACCATAACACTTTAAGGTCGATTCTCACTGTAGTTCAGATCACGCTCCATTCAAGGCACGATGCAATATTGTGACATGGTATTTAAATAGAAATGTTCATATTTGGCGGTTCGCTCACAGTATGCTCATGATCTTTGACCGCGGTCTTTCTCCTTGTAGATATTTTGAACGAACCGTGAGTGGACCTTTGCATCAATGTGTACAAACAACAATCAGACTCGGCACAACTTTTCTATTCTCTACCGGTGAAATTGCCTCCCGAAATAAAGTAGTTTGCTTAAAATCAAAGCAGACCTCTCGCGAAGGCAAAACCGTTTTAAAGATTTTCTAATATAAAATTGCATTTATATTCGGGAATACTTCGTGATATTATGTGTCTTGACAATATTAAGAGCTTAAAATTGGTGCAACGATAAGACAGCACTCTTACAGAATCGTTTAAGAAAAAAGAGTGGGAAGTCATTCCTTTTAAAAACTCCTAGATAATTATTAAAAAAAAAAGAAAAGCAGCAAATTTTTATAGATTTAATATAGAATGAGGCATATATGTTTTTTTTTTATTAATTTTAAAATTTTTCAAAATAAATATTTTTCAATAGTTTACAAAAAATTCAAGTTTTCTTCACACTAAGTTTGGTTAATATTGGCATTTCCCGAAAATTTCACAAAAATCGGACTAAAATAAAGTCTCAGAATAAATTATAAATTTTCGAGGTGCTCCGTTTGCTCTTAATCAAATTTGCTGAAATGTTATTCAAAATGTATTGAAATGTATGTTTTGTCATACAAAAATATTGAATCATCTATAAGGCATTTATATAGAGCGTACAATTCTCCTTCGGTTTTTTGTTTTCTTAAAATATCGTGAACATAAAATATCTTCCGGCGTTTTTGTCTTGTTGTTCTTCATCATCTAAACATAATGCAATTGCAGCGAAATCAATTATTAATAATTTATTCATCTTGCAACAGCCTGTGTCGATTCTTTTCATAAAACTGATTAAACATATTAAAATAAGCGTCAGTTGAGTGTAATATGTGAACACGACCTCAAATCCTTGATTGTGAGCGGATCGTGAGCGTAGTATGACCTGAGCACCTAATGAGAATCGGCCTTTTCACACTTATCTGTATCTCTAACGTGTGGAGGGTGGGTTACCCTTACGGCACTTAGGCCTCACTAGGCCAATTATTCATTATCCTAAGACGATATGCGCCTCCTAGCTCGTGAGCCAGCCTACAGATTTAATGTAGTTGACAAAGTCGCCAAGAGGTGCTTCCCTTATATCAACCGGTGTTAGCCGATACTTGCCGAACACAATTCTCCTAATAAATGAGTGCGTCGAGCAATCGTAGAGGATATGCTCGATGGTCTCATCTTCTTGTTCGCACCCTCTGCAGAGGGCGGATTCTGACAGCCCCATGATATGGAGATGCTTCCGTTCTTGGCAATGACCAGTTAGAATGCCTGTGACTAGGCGCAAAGTCAATATTAAACTAAAAAAAAGTGTATCGTGACTGTAAACCATCTGTCTGCGCTGTGTGATGTGAATTGCGAATAGACACACAACGACATATATTCCCACCATCCCCATGCGGTCGAGCCGTTGGCAAGGTTGATATTATTCGTTTCCTTCGCGGCCCTAATGCGAAGTCTATGCTTCGACACTAGTAAACGGAATTGGAAGGTTTTCAATAGATAATACTATATCACAAATAAACACACTGTGTTTATTTGTGACTATATATTAAGTTGTAGCGTCGACGGATAAGCCATTACAAAGGGATAATCTCAAATTATAATAGCAGAAAAATCATTAGGACTGTTAGTTCTGTTTAGTTTGTTGTTTAATCGATGAAAGAACTTCTTCTTGGATACAATTATTTATAGATAAAGAAACTACATGCACAAAAACATCATCAAAAACGTCAGGAGCAACAGATTTTTTTTAACTAAGTTAGTGGCACTGGATATACAGGCCAGTTAATTGTCAGGTGAACATATAAAAATATCGTATAATAAACTTTATTATTATACGAAATTTACTGAAATTTTTTTTTTTCAGGTGTGCATGCTCATGGACGTCTTCCTCGGCACTAACATTCTCACCGCATGGATCTCAGTCTACTTAGCTCTTCCCATACTAGCCAGCAGCGCTTTCAACCCCTGGGTCTACGGGTACCGGAACTCTGAGCTGCGCTGCGCAGTCAGAAGGGTCGTCGATGACTTACTAGCGGTGCTAGGCTTCACGCATCGTAGCCATCATCGAAATTCGGATCCCATAGCACCCAGCGCGGCTGCCACGGCTGGTGACGTCGGTTCCTTTATCAACCACGTTCAGAGAGACTGTCTGGATTGGAAATCAGGTGATACTCAAATTTAAATAACTAGTGAAGGAACGTTTTCTAATAAAAAATAAACATTTTTATCCGAAAAATTCTAATTGTAATTTAAATCGATAGGTAACTTTAAATAACCAAATTTTGAAAATATCCCTTTGGCTTTGCGATTTTCGCTTAAGTATTTTATTTCTATAGGATTCATTTTAATTTTACTTTTCTGCGTCTTAACCAGTTTTTAATGTCAGTTTTCTATTACATATAATAAAACAGGAAAAGAAGCCAGTCATAAAAACATGTCGTCTTTAAACTCACAATCAACTTCAGTTACGAATTTTCGATGACTCGTTACTGTAACTAGGTCTTTTCAGGTGGAGACTTCCTGCTGGTCCCTATGGCGCGTCCCGAAAGTTCAGGAGTCGTATCCGATTGCGAGTCGCGTGTGTTCAGTGAAACCCCCAGGATAGTGCTGAGTTCCGATCCTCCCAGATTGCTCAAAGGATCCAGAAGTATGGTGGAGAGTATAGCGGTGAACAGAGGTTCCGATGTGGTGATAGTGACCGGGAGGGAAAAAGGGATGAGACATGGCATCAGTGTTTTGTGAAAAAAAATCTACATTCCGGAATAATGTGATCAATATTCGTGGTAGAGGTGTATCCGAATTTATAGGTTAGAAGACGGTGATCGAATTTAGATTAAGAAATGATACGAAGGGTGTTAAACGAAATGAATGAAACGAGTCTATTTTTGAAAGAAGAGGTAACAGTTTATATCGGTTAATTAAGATTCAACTCGAATGAGCATAGCTAGAGTACATACTATTCAGTTTTTATTTAAACTATATGACTATAGTTAAATGTTTCAACCTATATTTATATGAATAATATTTACCATTCCATTTTTTATTTATAAACAGTTTCACCATTTATATTATAAGTCTACTACTATCACATTTTATAATTCTAATACTCATTTAACATTCCTATCTAGTTTTTTTATCATTTTCAGATTAATATAAAGTAATCATACAAGGATAATTTCTTGACCATAGTAGAATTTTATATAAATAAATAAAAATTGATTTAGTCATATCGGTCACAAGTTTTTATTTATGAAGCTTTACTAACCATTTTAAGTGTCTCTGGAATAATAATTTCCCACCCCACATAAACAAAATCTACTGATTTTTTTTAGTGGGAACTATAGGTCCCAACTCTTTGAGAATATTTTAGAACTGCTAGTGACATTTATTATTTTAATAGTCTATTTCTTTGATGTGGTTTAAAACAAAACTAGTAAAGTACTATTTTTCTTATTGGTCTCTCCAGGACAGTACTTTTGTTCACTATGTAACAGTCAATTATTTACATATTAATAAAGCTGAAAGTATACCAAAAAATCATATGATAATCAAAGTTGTAAGTAAAAAATTTAACTCACCGTTTAAAGCTTCCCAATATCTCAAACTAATCCCAGGTACGTTAGTTCGTTTTACAATTAACCAGAAATCACAATAATTTGGACAAATAATGTCAAAAGAAACTCTTACCTTAAACTTTCTATGCTCACGGACGGCCACTCAACATTTGATGGAATCACATAAAATTTTGATGCTAAAAAAAATTACAAAATAAAAATATTAGTTTCAATAAAACTTCTGTATCTCTTGAAATTTTCTTTTTCGCCGTCTTTTTCTTCTTTCTCATACCTTGTCTTCCTTCTCCTATACCAATTAATAACTAGAACTGGGCGAATATTAAAATAAATGATCGATTATCTATTATTTTCGATTATTTTTGATTGTTTTCAATTATTTTCGATTATTTTCGATTATTTTTGATTATTTTCGATTATTTTCGATTATTTTCGATTATTTTCGATTATTTTTGATTATCTTTGATTATCTTTGATTATTTTTGATTATTTTTGATTATTTTTGATTATTTTTGATTATTTTTGATTATTTTTGATTATTTTTGATTATTTTTGATTATTTTCGATTATTTTAGATTATTTTAGATTATTTTAGATTATTTTAGATTATTTTAGATTATTTTAGATTATTTTAGATTATTTTAGATTATTTTAGATTATTTTAGATTATTTTAGATTATTTTAGATTATTTTTAATTATTTTCGATTATTTTCGATTATTTTCGATTATTTTCGATTATTTTCGATTATTTTCGATTATTTTCGATTATTTTCGATTATTTTCGATTATTTTCGATTATTTTCGATTATTTTCGATTATTTTCGATTATTTTCGATTATTTTCGATTATTTTCGATTATTTTCGATTATTTTCGATTATTTTCGATTATTTTCGATTATTTTCGATTATTTTCGATTATTTTCGATTGTTTTCGATTATTTTCAATTATTTTCGATTATTTTTGATTATTTTCGATTATTTTCGATTATTTTTGATTATTTTCGATTATTTTCGATTATTTTTGATTATTTTCGATTATTTTCAATTATTTTCGATTATTTTCGATTATTTTCGATTATTTTCGATTATTTTCGATTATTTTCGATTATTTTCGATTATTTTCGATTATTTTCGATTATTTTCGATTATTTTCGATTATTTTCGATTATTTTCGATTATTTTCGATTATTTTCGATTATTTTCGATTATTTTCGATTATTTTCGATTATTTTCATTAAATTCGATTATTTTCTGATTATTTTCCATTATTTTTTATTATTTTCGATTATTTTCTATTATTTTCTATTATTTTCTATTATTTTCTATTATTTTCTATTATTTTCTATTATTTTCTATTATTTTCTATTATTTTCTATTATTTTCTATTATTTTCTATTATTTTCTATTATTTTCTATTATTTTCTATTATTGTCGATCATTTTTCATTATTTTCGATTATTTTCTTTTTTTTATTATTATTATTATTATTTTCGAATATTTTCGAATATTCTCCAATATTTTCAAATATTTTTGAATATTTTCAAATATTTTCTGTTATTCTCAATTATTTTCAATGATTTTAGATTTTAGAATAGTTTCGGTTATTTTCGATTATTTTCGCTTATTGTTGATTAGTATTGATTATTTTTGATTATTATATATTAATTTCGATTATTTTGGATAATTTTCGATTATTTTTGATTATTTTCGAATATTTTTGAATATTTTTGAATATTTTCGATTATTTTTGATTTTTGTCTATTATTGTCGATTATTGTCGATTATTGTCGATTATTGTCGATTATTGTCGATTATTTTCGAATAATTTAGATTATCTTCAATTATTTTTGATTATTTTTGAATATTTTTGAATATTTTTGAATTTTTTCGAATATTTACGAATATTTTCGAATATTTTTGAATATTTTCGATTATTTTCGAATATTTTCGAATATTTTCGAATATTTTTGAATATTTTCGAATATTTTCGAATATTTTCGAATATTTTTGAATATTTTTGAATATTTTTAAATATTTTCGAATATTTTCGAATATTTTCGAATATTTTCGAATATTTTCGAATATTTTCGAATATTTTCGAATATTTTCGAATATTTTCGAATATTTTCGAATATTTTCGAATATTTTCGAATATTTTCGAATATTTTCGAATATTTTCGAATATTTTCGAATATTTTCGAATATTTTCGAATATTTTCGAATATTTTCGAATATTTTCGAATATTTTCGAATATTTTCGAATATTTTCGAATATTTTCGAATATTTTCGAATATTTTCGAATATTTTCGAATATTTTCGAATATTTTTAAATATTTTCGAATATTTTCGAATATTTTCGAATATTTTCGAACATTTTCGAATATTTTCGAATATTTTCGAATATTTTCGAATATTTTTTATTATTATCTGTTATTTTTCTAAAATGTCTTTAATCAATATTACTTTGCCTCCTGCATATATTCCGTAATTTACTAAACTACTGCTATATTTAGTTATATGTATACTATTTACTATTTTCAATTCATTTTTCATGTTCTGTTTTTCTTTTTATTTTTAAGTTTTTTCCGTCCAGCTTTCATAATGTATATTTTCATTTAACTTTCTTTTTAAGATAATTTCCTATTTTGTCGTTATATTCCCCAATTCTTCCCTATATGTTTTATTTTCATTTCCATCTACTTTAAGATTTTCAATATTTTGTTTAGAACTAGGTAACATTTTGTTTCCTGTCGTGCCTTATCTTCTTACTTACCTTAAATGCAATTTTGGAAATTCTAAAATGAAAAATCCCCAATTCCCTTTAAGAAATTATGAAAATTACACCCTCATATCCCCAAAGTGAAAACAAACAAAAAAAAAATAAAAAAGCGTAGAATTAAAGACAGAAGAAATGAGCGCATCGGCCGGGAGTCGAACCTGGATCCTCAGATTTGATCCGTCCGTATTCTGTCAATCGAGCTACCACTTTGATTTTCAAATTCGCAAATTTGATGTCAATCAGATTCAAACTCTCGTCGGTACACACAAATTTTCATCCCAGCTCAGCTACTTCAATTCTCCTTGGCTGAGATTGGCTTTGAGGAGGGGTGAAGTACGAAGTTCACTAAAGCCCATTTTGCCTCATCTTTTGTTGTTTGTTGCTAATCTTTTTGTTTGGTAATTTATAGTACATTTGAAGAACCCTCTGGCAGAAGAAGATATATTATCTTTTGGGATATATATTCCCCACAATCTTTCTGATATGAGATATTACATTGCGACTAAATAATTTACCTATTAATTATATATCTAAAAGATTATATACAAGATATAAATCAAAAATATTAACCCCCAGTCTTTTGCTGAGCTTTATAAATAAAAACTTATTACTGTTATAATCAAGGAACTTTTATTTATATTAGATTTTTATATTTATTTTTAATAAAAAACCAAAACTTTTGTACCAAATTATATATGTTGCGTGCTCATTCCAGTTATTAAATATACTATGGTTTCTATTTTATTTATATATTGACAACTGTCAGAAACTTAATTAATATACAGGAAATATGGTTTTATACGAGTACAGTAAAAAAAGCCAATTGTTTTTTTTTAATTGCTTTGAATAATAAACAGGTTTTGATTTTTCCTTCCAAAATATTTTAATATTTCTGTAATTTCCACTTATATCGACAGTAGATGTCAACTTTCTTATAGATCGTCCCTATTTTTATTTCGGGTTCCGATAGAACATGCTATTTTAAGGTAACTTTGGGTAATAAAGTTTTTCAAAAAATTGTAATTTATAAAAAAAGTATATGTATTTTATAAAAAAGAATACCGTTGCGGGTATTCAAATAATATTTGTTCTTGGACAAAGTTAGTTAAAATATAATAAATAATTTTCTGGAAAGTTTAGCTACCTACCATTCGAGCGACCGTCTAAAAAAATATATGGACCTATTAGATGCTTCCCCAATGATACCTCCCAGATATTTATTATTATAATAACTTGTCTTATTAAGTGCGAATTTTTTGTAGAATACAAAATTAAAATTGTCTATTTAGCAGTCTGCTATTATGAAATGTTGATGCATCTGTCCATTAAACGTTATTAAAAAATTATTTCTTGAATTTTCTCATTGGTCTAATTATAAAATTGCCTCTT